AAACAAGTAACATCCTTTATTTATTACATTAGATATGCCTGGTAGCTCAAATATCTCACCTAATGGTAATGTTCTTGAAAGTTGCAATATATATTGCTCAATTAGTGAGGAAAGACAGTGTACTGCTTGCACATTTCTAAAAAGCTAAATATCTAGATTTTGTATGCTATGTGGGCATTTTGTGTTACAAGCTGAAAATGACAAAAACCGCAGGTTGAATGCATAGGTCAGCAAAAAATGTGGAGCTCACTCAGATTCTCCCATGAAATACATTTTGCCCTTGGGATTCACTGAGACTTAGACTCACCAAGTTGTCCTTGACTGGACCCACTCGGAGCGCTTTTTTTTTTTTCAACCGGACTCATTGGGACTCAGACTTACTGCCATTTTTCTCTGCCGAACTCACTAAGACTCAGTTTGACTCATACTGCCTGCTCGATCTGAGAGAGAGAGTCTTAGGGAGCCGACTCGTGAGTCCGTTAGTGTACGATTAACTTTCTCAACCATGCTGTCTATGCTCTTTGACAACAGTATATTGAGTAATTGGTGCTCTACTTGTCGCTTTTTGTACCTTCAAATATGATACATCTGTAGGCTGCAATCCAGTAAGGTCATTTATAATGAAATAAATTACTTCCACGAGATGCTTCCCGAGAAAGAATTTGCAGGAGGGAGCTCATGGCACCTACTCTCCTTCCTATCCTCCACAACTCACGCCTCCAATCAATAAACATTGACCTGGCTGATGAATGCTAGTGCATTAAATTATGTGTTAGTAGGTGTGCGTATGATCATGAGCGGGCATAAGGCCAATAGTAATGCTGACGTTGTGTAAGTAGTACCATAGGCCTGCAAAAAAAAAAAAAATGAAACTTATTCAGGTACTTTTAAAAAATACATTTTGCGCTGGGGACTCACTCGAACTCATACTCACCCAAATTGTCCTAAACTGGACTCGCTGAGATTCACTAAAATTTTCCTCAGCTGGACTCACTCAGACTCAAACTTACCGAAAGGCTACTCGCTCAGACTCGCATTTCAATCTCAGTTTGAGTGGGTTGACTCATGAGCTAGTTTGCCGACTTACGGTTGAACGAGTAGATGTGTTTGTTCGTATAGAATAGTCAAATAGGAACATTCATAGGTTGTTTTCTCTACTGCTTTTGAAACCGGTTGACAATAACAATATATTCATGTAAAAGTGTTTTGATTTATTTCCCGACAAAAGTTTGTCAGTACGAACATACAAAATACAGCAGACTCTCAGTAAACTTCAATCTTTTAAATAGAACTGGTGCTTAAATAAAACAAGTACTTCTGACAAGATTGGTTTCGTCCTGGTATTCTGCACCACTGCTCCGCTCTCAGTAAGTCCAACTGCAGTTAAGGGCACTGGGTAGGCCCCATATGTTCTGTGCATTTTTGGTCATTTTGAGTTACCGTTTTTCTCAATGTCTAAAAGGGATATTCACATAATTCATGCATCATTTTCTTCCAAATTTCTTGCTTTTTTAACTGAAAGAGATTTATTAAATATTGACTAATATTAGAACTTTTGCAACTTTTTAACCACTGGGACCTAAATTTTGAGCTAATTGGCATCTATGGAAATTTGTAACACAAAAGCTGTGAAGTGCATCAATTCTGTTTCAGTAGCTGTATGTATTTATGTAGAATACAAAAAAAAAATAATCAACTGATTATTTCAGAATACATAGGAAATAATCGTACCTAAGTACATGGTTCTGAAATAATTGAGTTTAAAATTATAAAATGGCTGAAAAGTGAGCACATTTCGTCATAAACACTGTTTAAATATTTTAATTAGTAGCTACAAACTTTGTAATCATTGTCAAAGTCAATTGTTTACTTTGGGGCCTCTCATAACGCTTGCCTTGCTTCTCTTGTGAGTTTTCATGCAGCTATATCCGCAGCGTATCATCTAGTGTGGTCAACATTTTTCAGCAACTTGACTGTAGTTTGGCCAGCCTTCAACCCTAACTGTTTCAGAATTTTGGCTCATGCGATACTACCATCGTTAAATGCAAGAACAATATCCAATGTCACAATCATTAAGATTTTGAACCTAAACAAAGGCTCTGCGACACAATTGACTCAACACTTGTACCACGCAGTTTGCAGGTGCTATTCTGTCTTATTGCATCACAAATAATAGTCATGTTCATTAGAGCATACCCATTGCCACCCTGCACATGATTCACCTTGAAGGATGCTCAAAAGGCTTAGAGGTTTACTATGAAGAGCTTGCTGGTTCGACATTCAATACCTCAGTACGTCATTGGCATTATTCACATTTCCAAGAGAACTGTAAGGGTCGCTGCAAATTTTACACTTTCTGAAGACATTCTCTATCCTTAGCGTCCCTTAGCATCTTAACTTATTGATAAGAATGACTAACACAAGGTGAAATGAGATTAGGAGCTGAAAGTGTTCAAACTGGTGCGCTTGAAAGAAGAAGTGTGACTATGAAGTCGCAGAGCATCTTCAGACAGCCTTAGAAGTTACCTAACAATTTACTATACACAGCCGACTCTAGACAAGCATTTTGGCTTTCGTACATGAAGTTTTTTTTATGAAAATATACTGCAAGCGTGGAGCCCATATAAGGGACTTGCACTGGATGCATTTTCACTGGCTACTTGCTTTCGAAAAAGCTGGTTTTGAGCCATAAAAAATGCTGTTTGAAACCAGCTGTGCAGTGTTCGAGATCCCGAACCCTGCACATTTTTTGACGGGCCGTAACTGCAAGCAAAACCATATAATGCAACATGTTTTTATTGATTGTGAAAACTGATGTGTAGTAGAGCAAGTGGAGAAAGTTTAAAAATTATGAAAACTTGTTTTTTTTTTAAATCGTCGTCAGAAGTTTTCCTTGCATGCGCTTTTCTTGAAGTTAGCGTGATTATACCTTTTATTGAAAAGTGCTATTAATATAAGCTTTGGCAGTTTTATAATTAAGCATGTTGAAAAAATTATGCGGAATTTTCACCACTCTGCCATAGGCTCTTTGTGAAATAAAGGCCTGCAAACTAGCCAGAAAAATGTTTTTAGGTCAATTTTGAGAATTTTCAATACAAAATCTACATTACGCAGACAATCAAAATATACTTTAACGTAAGCCCCAGTACGCCTATATGTAGCCAAACAAATTTGAGACACATAGATTCAATATGTTTTGTGTTCATTGCCAAATTAAAAAAAAGCAGCAGAGCAGGTAAGCGTGGCATTCCACCTCTCCGTCATTATTGATATATTGTATTTCAAAAAATTTTAAATTTTTACAGCAAAACCAATTGCGGATTTCTTCTTTCTACTGATGAAGCAACAATATATAAAATTTTGGAAAGAAATTTGAGAGGTCGACCAGCCATGCTTTGTTCAATCTTACGTGGAATCACCCACTTACCAGAAAGTGCAAAATTCTAATTAACATTGATGTGTGACCCAAGAAATCCGCTTCAAAACTAAATTTTGGTGCTACACAACACACCTTTTGGTGCTTCATAGTTGCTCCAAAGCTGCTCCAAAATCATATTATTCCTGCTTCCAAAGCTGCTGCAACAAACGGAAGCCCGCCTCCACCCCTGAGTGTGACAAGACATCAGCAATTGACGTCATTGGCAAACTCGATCAGTCGCAACGCACTTCCGCTTGCTGCGATGCCTAGTTGTTTACTGTTTACCCGGCTTCTCCGCAGCCCAGCTGCTCTATTTGCAGCCGACAACGATTTGCAGCAAAACTGCATTCCAAAACCTGGACATAAAGTTGGCCCGATTTTTTAGGAGTTCTATTTTTTTCGGAGAAGACTATTGCGCCATGTGGGAGCAGCAACACAAAACACAAATAATGCATTCAATAGTGGGTGTGCTGATCAACAGGTGGCACGACAATCTGCTCACTCCCAAAAACTGGGCCAGTGACATAACCGGATTTCGATACATGGAGCCTATGAGGAATTTTGCAACTCGTATGATTGAATAGCTCTGTTGTAGCTGTGGGTGGGAACAGGAACTGTCCTTGAGTTAACTACTTTTTGTTGAGACCTGGTTTAGACCAATCGATGACGGCGTGCAGCGTCATGTTGCCGAGTTGGCATCACTGCATGTGGAAGGGGCATTGGTCAGGCATAGGAAAGGACCGCGGAAATTGTTTTTTCGAAATGGAGGCTCTGCGTGGCGCGTAGCTATGCAATATTCAGAAAAGGTGATCGCTGTGGTCTACTATGCGAATTGCCGAGCTTTTTTGGGGGTTGTAAAAGAAAGTTAGAGCCTGTTGACTGGCCCTTTAAAAGAAGAAATGAACATGACATGTATAACAAATTGCAATATCTATTATACTGGAAGCATGTTTTTTAGTAAAAGTCCTGAAAGTTGGGGCAGTACTTTAATATTGATCATCAATGTTAGGCGAAATTCATTTGGAGGCAGGAACATTTAGAACAGCAAAGCATTTCGTCTCACATTTTACTAATACTCATCGTGTGTGCTTTACGAGCCAAATCCTTATCATAGTGATGGCTTTAAGTAATACAATCTTTAGTATAACAATAACTGCAAGAGCATGTTGAATGTTGAGTGCATGCTTAGCCTGCAGAAACTATTTTGAGCTTTTTGAACAGATAAGCTGATGATGGTTATGTGATTAACAGAGAAAATCCATAGAATGTTTACTTTGCATAAGTGCATGCAATTTTTGTTTAATGAATGTTGTGCTTAAAAAATGCTAACTTCTTCAGTTTGAAATTCAGATAAATCAGCATATATCTCAGCACGAGTAATATGTTTGGCATTTTAATGTTTTGTTTTTCAATCACATTTGTACATGTAGTACTGAAAGGCCAAATGGCACATCTTTTCTCCACATTGTTGGATTTTGTGACAGTAAACACCTTACACCTTTGTGTCTGCATTCTCCGTCATAGTAAAATTTATGTACTGTTTGAACACAAAGCACACATTTCCTTTTTTCTAACTGCACAGCTGGCTGAACAAGAACGGCAGGAGCTGAAACAGCAACTGGTACAGCTGGAAGAAGAAGTGGGATGGCTAAGGAGTGACCATAGTGCCCTCTCAGGTGCCTACCGCCGAGCTGTTCGCCAAAACCACACATTAGTCACCCATCTTCGTGAACTTCAGGATGATGACTCTGAGATGCACTCACTACTGTCATCACTTCTTGTCACTGTATGTCACTTTTGCTACGGTTTTCTGACTGCACATGTGCACACCATACCAACACAATATGAAATAATGCAAGCAAAAGAAATGTCATAATAAATGAGGCTCAATTGACAAATGCTGTAGCGAGCATGGAAACGAAAAACTTGAATGTAAATTTGGAGGTTAGAGTGACTTGGCTGGCCACGTAAAATGTCTTTGTAGTACTGCACTATCAAGCCAATCGAAAATCAAGCCAGGAAAGCGAAGGAGGTGCTATTTGTATTTTTTAATTGTGTAGTAACTACGAGATAAAGAAAAAACGAAAAATATGAAAAAGCAACTTGCCACTGGTGAGGCCTTCACATTATGTGTGCATTGCTGTACCAGTTGTGCTAGGCTGTCAGCGGTTTCCCTGTCCACTTTCTTGGACATTTGTGCATCACGCTGTCAGTATTAGTTAGTGCCACTTTTTGTCGGAATAGCAAACATGGAACATTTGCCTCAATGGCATCATCCACTATGAAAATTTTACTTTTAAGTAGGACACTGACCAATGAAACCCTTGCATGCTCCCTGTCAAACCTGCTGGAGCCAAGACCCTCCGCCTGAGGTTGTTTTTCACCAGCCACAAGTTTATTTTTTGTCTGCATCAAGTTACTTTATCCTATAATTATTACACATCAAATAGAAACTACAAATAATGCCCCCTGTGTCTTCCTCTGCTTCATCAGGTTGTGTCCAGCAAAAGACAAGGCCCTTAATCAATTCCTCTCTTTTGTTAATTTACACTACACAACATTGTTTTAATATGCAATACAATAGAATCATATGTATAACAGAAGTTACTTGAGGCTGTGAAAGTAGTGGCTCAGTAGATATGTGCTTTTGTAGTTGTCCTTGTTGGGCCTCAGCTCACATGCACCCTGTTTTACCTAATGACCTCTTGTCTCATCACAAGGACAGTTACAGCACCAGTTGACCAAATACTTTTCGATTTTATAGGTTTACTCTAATTATTCAGCACTTGGACACAAATATTAGGAAACAGTTCAAATGGCCTACTGAATGCTGTGCACAAGTACTTGTTCAAAAATGTTCGAATGTTTTTATAGCATTAACTTTAACTGAGCCAAACATTGTTATCAGCATTCATCACTTCCAGTAGCACCATATCGGTTTATATTTATTAGCTGCATTTTTTCGTTATCAAATTGTTTAAGGAACCCTGAAAAACTCAGCTATTGTCACATCCTGTTTCCTATAAGAACCTTTATATGTTAAGAAGTTTACAGGCCATTGGTCCTACAAAAGGGGATGACTGTCCCAGTATTTAATTCTTCCAAATAAAATAACGCAACACTATCTTGATTCAGGGTTGGTACACATTTCGAAGGGAAAAATTTAAGAATATTCAAGGACTTTCCAGCACTGTCACAGGTTTTTCTAGGATTTAAAGGTGCACTCAAACTTGAATTTTTTTAGTCTAATTCAAAAATAACTAATTTTTTTGTACTTATAGTTACAGCTAGTTGTGCAAATATCAAAATTTTGAATGCAAAGTGAGTCTGCAAATCAAATAGGATATTTATATTTAATAGTTTTTGAATGTTCTGTAGTAAAAATACAGAAAAAGTTTGCAGAGGATTCCTAAGCACATTCTTATGAGATAAGAACATGAAATGTTTCTTTTGGCTAGGTCGATAACGCGCTGGCGGTGTGGTGTGTCATAGTTATCTTACCAAGAATGAGGCAATGGAGAGGCCGAATTGTATTTTTGTACATGATTTTGTGCAACAAATGTGTTGCCAACAACACTTTTCACATGAAAAGCAACGATGTTATTTCCTCACCCTATCTTTCTCTTTGCACTTCTGTGGAGACCAATCTGATTTGGCAGACAAAGGCATGTTTCCTTTGAATTTTTAAGTTGCATTTATGTCTTGTAGGCCTTAAGAACGTCTGAAATTTCGGATGTTGAAATCTTCGTCCGATTTTTATGGTCTTTCTGGTCTGAAATGGCATTAATTGAAATGCCCACTTCTGCCGCGTAGGTTCGAACCAGCGCTTTCCCGAGTCAATCTGTGTACAACCATAGCGGAGGCCTAAAGGCAGCTTAGCCACCATACCAGTGTGTAATGTGGTGAAGCATACTAATATATGAAGGGGTCATTGTAACGACGTCGTGCATTTCTATGTTGCAACCACAGCATTTTCCTGATTCAACACAGCCTTGCCGCAGTGCAAAAGTGTGATGAGGTAAAGCATATAAAAAAATTTGAAGAGGCCACTGTTAGTCGGACGTTGACTGTTGTTTGTCTGTGGGAAGTTCGCATAGTAAACTTCTGGTGCAAATTGAATTGCAAACATTATTCAAAAAATAATTGAAAGTTCGAATATTAGCACACCTCTACTTATACTACATGCATATCAAGATTATGCCAAACAAGTGTAGTCTGCTGACTTTAGCTTCACCTCTTGCGCAACAGGGAAGGAGCTAGCAACGAAGAGAGTTGGGAGTCTCACATGTTGTTCATTCGTGGTTTCATGCAGTCAAACTTTTTTCTTTCCCATGCAGTTATGCAAAATGGAACTCTATGCACTCACACCAAATTATTGTGTCTGAAATGCGGAGTTTGTCAGTTCGATGCTGATCTACCACATTATGACAGCTGCAATGTCAATTAAGAGTGCACTTCTCAAAAAATTCGAGTATTTTCAAGGTTGAGAAACTATCGCAATAAAAATTCCTGAATTTTCAAGGGTCTTGAAAGTGCATTTTCCAAATTCAAGAGTTTTCAAGGATCTGTACGCACCCTATAATGATTCCATACGTGTTGATATTTCAACTGCAATAGTTCTCCCATACAACATTGCGTTGATGCTATGGATGAAATAGAAAAAACTGCAATGCAGCTAACCTGCATAGCAAACGTTCGTGTACAGGGGTGGTGCATTCCGCACTTTCTGATAGTATTCTTACATGCGGTGTATAGTTTCACGTGGACGTATTTGGACTAGAAGGCAGATGCAGTGCACACAAATGTGAGCGTACGTCACGTCTTCCTTCCAGCGTGGTCATGTCCAAACCAGCGCCTCCGCATTTCTAAAACATGCGAAACACTACACTGCATGGAACAACTGTATCAAGGAAGAGACACACCAACATTGTGCATGAATTTTTTAGTGCAGGAAAGCTATCTTTGAAGGTTTTGCAGCTCGTCTATTCAATATATACCCTCAATTTAGAAAACATGACGGAGACAACATGATATATAATATTAAACAGTCATGTGTCATGTTGTTGTCTTTGCACCCTGTCTGTGAATTCAGGCTAGATTTTAACCTCAAGTGACCACAAAAATGTGTCAATTATCTGGAGTTTTGTTGGTCAAGAAATATGTGCCTAATTCTTTACATGGTTAGGTAATGTTAAGCATAAATAGGTGAAAACAGTTGCCCCATGGTATAGAGCATGGTTGATGGCGATTCAGTGAACTAGGCTTTGCTAGATTTTTTTTTTCCAAATACAAAGTCAACCAATTCCAAACTATCATTCAATTTACTCAGTTTTTTCTTTTTACGGATTTTATTATACCATAAATAAAACTGTTGTCAAACTATATCGACATTTTGTATGACTGCCGTTTACAACATATAGTAACCTGGATGCATCATCTGCAGGTCACTTTAAGCTTACTAATACTAAAGAGCTTGCTGTAATTAAAGGACAGTGTTGGCTCATATTGCAGTGCTTTTTTTTTTTCTGCTTTTTTTGGTAGCTGTATAACAATAAGCATTATCAGCCGACTTTACCAACTGTGCAGAGCTTATTATGATGACAGTAATCAAAAGATTGGCCCTTGCTACTTGTACTCCCACAAAGGCTGGTAGCAGGTGTATTCTTAAATTTCAAACTTAATAATGAAGGCTGCCTGGCTTGCTACATGCTTTATTTATTTCAAAGCTCTGTTATTCTGGCACTCTTTTTTTCTGCTTGTGGAGTCCTTTATTTATTTATTTGTCTGCTAAAAATTTGCTTGTGATTTCTTAATATTTTTTACCTTTTCATCCCCAGGCTCACCAAGTAGTTTCTGAGCGCGACAGCTTAGAAATAAAGGTGAGTTAAAAGTATGCTTACTGCTTGATGAAAAATTAAGAAAAATAGAAATGTGATTCACATAAAAGTGAATCACTTCTTTTTTGCCTTCTGTAGTGGTGTAATGTGTATTGGAAAGGTTTTTTTTTTCTTGGATTACTTTGTTAAGCTCCTGAAGAAGTCACCACTGCACAAACATAATGTGATGAGCAAGACAGGGCATGTAATTCAGATACAGGTGGCTGAGAGGCCCTACAATTTGTGATCTCGCATAAATGTCTATAACTAGTATATGTATCTTCTATGATCATTTTCTTTTTGTATGTTGTAGAATGAGGAAAAGGAGAAAGAATGCCAACGTATGTTGGAGCTCCTTGGACAGCATAATGTGGACATAGATCAGTTGAACAAATATCTCAAGGTACGTGAAAGTGGTGTTACTATTCTTTTCCTCTTTATAACAGCATTTTTTTTTTCATCAATAGGTGCTCTAAGAAATAATCTCTTATTTAAGAACATAAAATCTGACTAGTCAGTTTCTTTGTGTTGGCCAGCTTATTTCATCACAAAAAAAAAAAGAGGTCTCATTTGAAATCTCAGAAGGGTTGAAATATGACCTGGTTTGGTTGCTCTTTTTACAGCAATTTAAAAGTTTCATGCTGCCCTTTACTGCACAATCACAAAGCTTGAATAATTTTGGAAATGGAGAGCAAGATGGCAGCCTTTGGAACACACATAGATGCTGCTTTACCATGCGACCTTGTTATTCAGCTACTCAAGCAGCTTCACTTCTTTTTGTTGAGCTGGGAAATCTTTTGCCATAAGTATGAAACAACAACCACAGTTTCGATACTTCATGAAACTTTGAGCAGCAAGCATAACAAATAGTGCACAGTGATGTCAAGGAATAAAATATACTGTGGGATAAAACTGTAAAGCGTTGACATGGTACTCCTCTGTGCTTACTGCTCTGCTTGAAATAATTGACATTGTTTCTATTGGTGCACTGTTCCCTGTCTTTATCACTGTGGCTGATGCCTTGATAATCTTCCATACCACTGTTGATGTGAGATCCCCATTTTATAAATTTCAAAAGACCTGACTGTACAAATGAGAAGCGACACGTATAACTTCAAAAAATATGTGACTCAAGTGAAACTCTTGTATCACATTTGATGAGTAATTCTGTGTTGTCGTGTTACTTGCTCTGCAGCGCTGAAGAAAAAGAAAAAAAAAATGTGCTTCTTTTTTTAACTAGAGCATGCAGGACCAAACAGAGGATGAGAAGTACAAAGCAAAGCTTAGGTGAGCTTTTGAAGTCAAAGCTTGCTATATATATATATATATATATATATATATTTCTACTGAATCACGATGTGGAGGTGCCAATGGTTGTAATAAATTGGTGTACCCAAAAAAGCATTGATCTGAATGTTTTTTGTAACAAATATATAGTATACTTTTAATGAATGTAAAACATGTTGAACATATTTTCGTATCATGTGATAACCACATGCAACTGTACTTGGAACATAATAAGCTGCAGACTATGCTCTAAAACCCTCATCTGCATATTACTATGAACCTTTGTATTTTTAATGAATGATAAACTGAAATTAAAGCAACTGATCTTTTCTAAATTCTCTCTTGGTTTTGCTGCACCAGCTATTGTTTGAGTGTGCTATTTTGAATACGCCGGCTAATGACTTATTTGTCTTCACAGTTTGTAAAGGTGTTGCCTTCTCCTTTCTTCATCAGCTTAATCATTTACAGTTTGCTCAGTTTATTGTAATTAGAGTACTGACAATCGAACAATCCCAAATGGTCTAAAAATAAAAGGGCCGTACTTATGTAATTGTACACGAAATTATTCTTTTGGCATGATTAAAAAAAATGCCAATAAAAAAATGTGGGCAAAGATAAGGTAATGAGTTTACGCCATTCATTTTGTGGTTGAAGTGACACTCCACCCGTTTGTTGGGTCAACCTGATTATGGATAACAATGGTATAGAAGTGAGTGTGAGGAATCATGATACAGCTTTTTTTTAATGCAATACATATTTTTGGTAAAAATTCTGTGACAGACGGGCAGCCGTCATCTTTGCACATAAACTCTATGTCAAGGCAGAAATTCTTTGCCTCACCCAACATTACATTAAAATGGTTCATAAACAAAAACTCGTAATCATTTGGGAAAATTATTAACTTGAGGGCTGCTGTTTATATGGAAAAGCAGTAGGATATTATGATTCATGGCACGCTTCATTTTAGAAATCGCAAAAGAACTGGAGATATCAATAACTGAAATCGAAGGCCTCGATTTGGCAGCTACTGAAACTCAGCATGCCGGACACGCAGGAAATGCCGCCACTGTATGCCTTTGTGGATGTGCATGCCCGGTAGCTCTCCACATTTTTGTGTAGTTCACTGCCAGACCTTTTTTTTTCCTCCTTCTCTTCAGTTCTACAGCGTTTCGAGTCAGGACCCTTCCAGTGATCTTGGTGATAACTTGAGGTGATAACGACCACTCAAATTTAGTTCTATAGTCAATTTGCTTGGTAATTGAGGGTATATATTATATCCTCAGGCATCCACTGTTGCTCTTTGGCTGATAAACATTATGGACAGGCTTTAGTACCTTACTAAGATGCAGTTGCAGTTTGCGACACTGCGTGACAATGTTTTTTCATATATGTACAAAAATAAATTTACACTGCACAACTTGTTTTCACTTTGTTGCAGGCGGGAAGTAGAGGGAAACCTTCAGGAAGAGTATGAACAGCAGATCTCTCACCTGCACACAAAGGTGGAGCAGAAGCAGCAAGAGCTAGAAAGTGTTCATAGAGAAAAAAGGTGAGCCATAATTATTGTGGTACATGAAGAACTGTGTATACTGTGAGTTTTTGCTCAGACTGTCTCACTTTATGACCTGGTTAACCCTGTAACTTCTTCCTGGTAATTAACATGCTCCCCAGTGGTTAACCAATGGGGGCAGGTCTTCAGACACTCAAACATTTTGCTGCATTGAGAAATGCAGTTCAAATGACATTTTTACTCAGGCAGAAGGTGTGTTACCCACTCTCTCACTAAAAAAAATAAAAAAACGCAAATGAGACTGCTGGTGTGAAAAATTGTGTAGATATCTCTGTAAGGAGTTAGATTTTCATGTACAACCAGCTTCCAAACATGGATTTTGTGAAGAGCTCTGAGACACAGTAAAATTTTGCAGCATGCGTAGCATAAAAAAAATTAATTGCTACCGAAAGTGATGTTGCCCTACATGCTGCATGGCTTTCCGATGTTTTGCACTTTAAGATCAGCATCTGAACCAAAAAAGAGCATAACATGATGTTATATGTTATTACTATTACTTGCATGGCAGACTTAAAAATGTTAGCATTTTTATTTGTAAAACATCTCAGAGTGGGGTTTTTCTTGAGTAAAGGAAGTGTCAAGTTAATGGGTTAAGACACTATCCTTGTCAATATTTAAGCTTTACTTATTTTTCTAGCTTTCTTTATGATGCACAGAAGTAGGTAGCTGAAGCAGAGGTTACCACATGTTTTTGCCAAAGACTCCTCTTTGCTATGTCTATGTATTGGATGCAGGTAGTGTTTTCCACTCCAAAATAAATGCTTAATAAATGTTGGCACAACTATTTCTAATTAGGCACATTGCAAAAAAAAATTTCTCCACTTGCCTAAAGATCATCAGCAGTACAGCACCTCTTTCTTAAAGCTTGGCACAAGTCACAAAATGTGATGCATCCTGTGCAAGGCATCAGTTCTTTGGCAGAAATATGAAATGCAAATTCTGATCAGAGTTCATACTCCACTTAACCATGGCAGTGTAGATTTTGCCCACATCTGGTGGAGCCTAATCAATTCTTAATGAATAAAAATAAGTGACATTGCATTCTTCCAAAGGAGCCAGTATTTTAGGGCTGCCACTTTTTCACTAAAACAAGGCCAGCCCTTTGGGAAGAGGAGAGGGTGGTTACTAGAGATTAAGGTAACATTGAGCAATAGACACCATGTTAAGTCTTTGGCATGCAGTGCCATTTAATGTAACATAGCTTGAGAGAAACAGGTACATAAAAGCACAACACTGAGCTAACCTAGTCTAATGAAGTAACAAAATGCCCGTAATGAGAATGACGCATGTACTGAAAGTAATTGAGGTTTCAGTTATTGCCCTAAATATGTTGCACTAAAAAGCAGCTGCACATACTTCGTCCGTAAAAATGCTCTTTGCGTCTGAATCCAACAGGTCAGTGACATTGTAGTCATAAAGGAACATTAAAACGTGTACCATACATATGCCACAAAAACATTAGATTTTATGTATAGAGAGGCACACAATAACATGCTCTATTCCAATAATTGCTATTTGTGAAAGGATCTTAAAAAGGTGCTGACTAATAGTGAAGAAGTATTGGTGATCGACCATAAATATATATCATCATAGTTGTTGAACTTACGCTTATAAAATGCCTCAGAAAATTAAGAATTGTGGTATTAAGACCAAGAAACAGTCATTGGCAGCTGTCTTGGATATGGACTGGCAACCAGCCTGCTATTCTGGCAGGGCTATTTGAAAACCCTACATGTGGGCACTCTACAGTGTTTAAAATGACAAGTCTTAGAAATGAGAAATGTTCACAATAGTCATTGTGGCTCAAAAAAAAAATATATATATATACATATATATATTGGTAGTACGCGTTGAGCGTTGAGTCTGGGACGCGTTTATTGAAAAAACGAACACAGGTCAAGCGCTCAGCGATCCGAATCGGAGCTATCACGAGCACAAACCACGGTACTGTTCCTCGTCTTTTTGCAAGCACTGCTAATTGCACCCTATCCATTCTACAAATCACTCCCTCTCGGAAAAGGAGCCATCGTGGCGACCTAAGACACAGGTACGACTGGTGGGTCATAGTGCGGCTTCAGTCGGTCAACGTGAACAGTCTCACGGCCGCGACGGCCGTGGTCTGTGGATGATTGTACAAGCTCGACAATATAGTTTACCGGGGATGCTTGACGCAGGATGCGGTAGGGGCCTTCATACTTAGGCAGCAGCTTTGAAGAAAGGCCTGGAGCTGAGGAGGCAACGCGAAACCACACCAATGTTCTAGGCGAATATGACTGGGGATGCAGGTTGGCGTCATGGCAGTCCTTTTGGTGTGCTTGGTCTTGTGTAGTTAACGAACGTGCTAGCTGCCCGCATTCTTCCTCATAAGTGGCGACTTCTGAGAGAGTTGCAGACTCTGAAGTATCCGGGCGATACAACAGAATGGTATCCATAAATGAGGAGGGTTCACGGCCATATAGAAGAAAGAAGGAAGAAAATCCAGTCGTGGACTGAGTGGCGCTGTTGTACGCATAGGTCACAAATGGTAGTATGCGGTCCCAGTTTGTGTGGTCATGCCATTGGTTTGGGGGTGGTATGCACTGGTCCTTCTATGAACAACATTGCATTCATGCAGGAGGTCTTGTACGGCTTCTGAGAGGAACGTGCGTCCGCGGTCGCTGAGTAACTCGCGGGGAGCGCCGTGGCGAAGAACAAGTTTGTGAAGAATAAATAAGCCGACTTCACGTGATGTAGCCTCTGGCAGCGCGGCAGTCTCAGCATACCGTGTCAAACGATCAATAGCGACAATCACCCAGCGATTCCTGTCAGGTGTGTATAGAAGTGGGCCGTATAAGTCAATTCCGATGCGATCGAAAGGTCGGGATGGGCAGGGCAACGGCTGGAGCGGTCCAGTGACGGCATGCAGTGAACTCTTTCGGCGTTGACATTTTGAGCATGAACGCACGTATTGGCGGTCGAATCGGTACATTCCACCCCAGTAGTACCGCAGCCGGAGGCGTGCATACGTCTTTATTACACCAGTGTGGCCGCATTGGGGGTCCGCATGGAATGAGGTGCAAATATCAGCACGTAGATGGCGAGGAATCACCAACAATCACTTGCGACTTTCACTGAGGTAATTGCGGCGGTAAAGTAGCCCATTGCGCATGGTGAAACGGCGAGCTGTGCGCCGCAGCGAGCGACTGGCGGTACTCGGTGATGGCTTCGATAGGAACTCCATTAAAGACACTATCCAAGGGTCTTGACGCTGCTCGGATGGCATGTCAGCGTGTGTGAGGGAGGCAGAATTGTAGGTAGAAACAGGCGCATTTGCACAGTCATGGGGAAGCGGAGATCGAGAGAGAGTGTCGGCGTCTGAATGTCTGCGCCGTGACCTGTAGACGACGCGGATGTTGTAGTTTTGGAGTCGTAATGCCCAACGGGCTAGGCGACCAGATGGGTCTTTTAGAGACGACAACGAGCAGAGGGCGTGATGGTCAGTCACGACATCAAATGTCCGACCATGTATGTAAGGTCTAAATTTAGCAATTGCCCAAACGATGGCTAGACATTCTTTCTCCGTGACCGAATAATTTTATTCAGCTTTGGTCAGAGTGCGACTCGCGTAAGAAACCACGTTGTGCTCATCTAAGCCAGACTTTCGCTGCGCATGGATACCGCCAAGGCCGACTCCACTAGCGTCCGTGTGGATTTCGGTAGGGGCGTCTGGGTCGAAGTGACGGAGAATCGGCGGCGATGTCAGAAGATGACGTAATTTCGCAAATGCGTCGACACAGGTGGACGACCATGCCGAGATACCTTTGCTGTCAGCAAGTAGACGTGTTAAAGGGATCATTATAGATGCAAAATTATCAATAAATCATCGAAAATACGAGCATAGCCCTATAAAGCTCCGGAGTTCTTTGAGTGTCGACGACTTAGGAAACTCGGTGATGGCGCGGAGCTTGTCTGGGTCTGGTAGAACGCCGTCCTTGCTGTCAATGTGCCCTAAGATTGCGAGCTTCCGTGCGGTGAAGTTGTAGCACAGCCTGTGTGAGGCATTCCAGGACACTTGCGAGGCGCTGGAGATGGGTATCAAAGTCTTTTGAAAAAACCACGACGTCGTCCAGATAGCAAAGGCACGTATGCCACTTGAGACCTCGAAGTATGTTGTCCATAAGACGCTCGATGGGGCCAGGGCATTGCAAAGGCCGAACGGCATCACGTTGAACTCGTACAAGCTGTCAGGAGTTACGAATGCAGTTTTAGGGCAATCGGCTTCATCCATAGGTACCTGCCAGTACCCGACAGAAGATCCAGAGAAGAAAAGAACTTCGCTCCTTGCAAACAGTCGAGCGCGTCATCAATTCTGGGGAGCGGATAGACATCTTTGTGCGTGACCTTGTTAAGGCGCCTATAATCAACACAGAAGCGGATGCTACCGTCCTTTTTTTTTTTAGGAGCATCACCGGGGATGCCTAGGAACTGTGGGACAACTGTATGACTCCCCGACTAAGCATGTCAGTCACCTGGTCTTCAATAACCCGACGTTCAGCTTGAGAGACGCGGTATGGACGCTGGCACAGGGGTGCATGGCTGCCGATGTCTATATAATGAGCGATCGAAGTTGTTCTGCCCAAACTGGGTTGCTTGTAATCGAAAGACATCCGAAAGCGGCCGAGAAGCTTCAAGAGTTGCATCCGCTGAACGCTGGGAAGGTCCGAAGCAATGGATGGAAGGAAGGCATCTGGGCTAGATGTGTTGGCCGTGGTATCGAGATTAACGCTCACGACATGGAGGCTTGCCGTGCGACCAGGTAGTGAGTTAGGGCAGACTGAATCAATGTCCTCAAGTTGCCCTATACATTCTGCGCGGAACACAGTGGTTGGGACCGAAAGCAGGTTCGTGACATAAATGGTTGCGGAGGAGTTTTCGATCGTGATAAGAGCAAATGGGACAAGAAAGTGCTTATGGGAAGTGAATTTCGCTGACGGCATAAA